CATAATGAAAAATTTAAAAAATAATAAAAAAGATGTTCAGCATAGTTCCTGGCAATAAAAACTCAGTAAAAGGCAGCAGTTATTTTTTGAATTACTAGAGGATACTATGATCTGTTATTGAGGATTGTTTATTTGTGAGGCTCCATTTGTCTAAGAGAGTATGAAGACTAAGAAAGAGAACTGGAATCATTCTATTGCATCACTTCCCAAACTCTGTAGGTATCATGCGAGACTTCATATGACTTGCCTTATTAGATATTTTAGTTTCAAAATGCGGGGAAGAGAAAAGTTTAGAAATGAGGTTAACTTTTGTAGAGAAATCTTCATGTAATGGGTCCATCTTCCTCATACCGGAAAGGTCTAATACATACAATTTCTAACTAGTATTTGCCTGAAACGTTTTAAAAGGTGCGAACCCTATAAAATCTTAGGAGTAGTAAGCTCTTCTTAATGTCTGATTCAAATCTTCATTATTTTTCTCCTGTACATTCCTATCAGCAAAATCTGTGCACTCTTGTTCAGATGTTTGTCTGGCCTCATCCATCAATATATTTTGATTTATTGAAATACGAAACTGAGCAGTGTGTAAGCTCAGCTGGATCACTGTAAGCACTACGATAAACAACTGAGCCTTTACTCTTGGAAAGTGTTAGGAAGCTCCCTACTTGGCTTTCTACTTTCTACCTGAAGACTGCGCATGTTCTTAAGGACGCCCGTGGGAAGTAGGGTTCGCCAATCAGACACAGTTGTCTGAACAGATGGGAAGCTCTGGTAATCGCTGAGTATCTAGTCAGCTGTGCTACACACAGCTCCTCCTTGGAAACATTCAATCTCCTTGCCTGTTGAACTTCCTTCAGTGTTTTTCAGTTCCACCTGGGAGCTGATTTACTCATACTTAAGGGTTGATTTGTTTCAAAACCAAAGCATCCCATCATCTCAAATCATCTTATCTTCTTCTTGTGTTCAGCCAAACACCTGAAAGAATGACCTATTTTCATTTCCTCATTTTCCACTCTACCACAGCAATCCCATGTCTACCAATTAGCACTCCACCAAAGGCATTATTATGAGAGTCACCAATGCTGTAAAATCAAAAGGCCTAAAAAAAAAAAAACCCTCTTGTTTTCCATGACCTCTACGCAGCATGAGATACTGACCTTGAAAACCTGTTTCCCTGAGTTTTTTTTCTTCCACATACCTTCTTGGTTTTCCTCTTGTTAGATCTTCCCTTCATTGCCTTTGTGGGCACCCCTTCTTTGTTTTTCCCTTAAACATTGGTGTTCACAGAGTTTGGTCTTGATTTTTTTAAAAAAAATTTGATTGTTTTTATTTTTATGGGTGTGTTTTGAGTGTATGTATATAAGTGTTCCTGTATGGGAAATGCCTGCATAGGTTTTAAGAGGGCATCAGATCCCTTGGAACTGGAGTTAATGATGGGTGTTAGCCACCATGTGGGTGCTGGGAATGGAACCCAGGTCTTCTGGAAGAGCAGCCAGTGCTCTTAACCACTGAGCCATCTCTCCAGCCCCCTTTTCTTCTTTTTATGTTACATATATCCCCTGAGAGATTTCATCTACTGCCCTCATTTGCCATTATCTGTAAATCAATAATCATGAATACAGTCTGCATTTCAGCTCTTGAGTTGAGACTTATATACAATCTCCTGCCAGGTATCTTATGATGATGCTACCCACAGGCCATTTCAGACTCAAGCATGCCCCAAACTGAATCCATCATTCAACTTTTGTTAAAATCTGCATCTCTTCTTTTTGTATAGCTTACCTAAGCAATACCATGGCTATCCCTGTGTTTCCTTAAGTTTGAAATTCAGTCAGGCAGTTCTGTGGGTGTAGCTCCAATATTTCAGCATTCTGTCTGCATTCTCAATTTATTTTTATATTTATATAATTTTATACTTTACATTCAGTCACTAGCAGTGCTTGCTTATGCAACTTCATAAAACCAGGCAGCATCATGGTCAGTCTCATTGCAGATGTGTATTGCAATGAACACAAATCACCAGCCAAAAAATCAAGTTATTTAGCATAGCAGATTTTTGAAACAGTGATATGTTTTACTCCTGTCATACCTACATTATTTCAACATGCTCTTGGATGGTCTCTTGTCCTCAAACACAGTTTTTCTCTGCTCACTATACTGAACTATGGCCCTAAGCCTTATATATCCCCTATTCTTTTTTTTTTTCTTCTTCTTGAGACAGGGTTTCACTATGCAGTACTGGCTGTCCTGGAACTGGTTATGTAGACCAGGCTGGCCTCAAACTGACAGAGATCTGCTTGCCTTTGCCTCCTGAGTGCTAGAGTTAAAGATGTGAAGCATTTCCTTTCTTTTTTTTTTTTTTCACTCTTCCCAGCCAAGTAGTCCAGCCTTGGAAGACAAAAGAAAAATGAGGAAGAACCCAATAGCATTTCCTTTCTTAATGTTATCTCTTGTTTCCAATTTTCCATTGGGTAAAATGAAAATTTTATTATGCTTGCAAGTTCCTTTACCATTTCACCTGCAGTTGACTCTCTGCTTCATCACTACCTAATCCTCCATATCATTTTCCACCATAGTGGAAATATACAGTCTATAAATATATATTAATTGTGTTGTCTGCTGAGCATATATCATGCATGTTCAAAGAACATACTGTCTACAGTAGATCCTCAATTGAAAGAGATGGGATTGCCTGTAAAGTATTGATTATGGTTGTAAAGTAAGTTAGTCCTTGTGCCGCCCCCCTCCCTTTCCTGGTGGATGTTACCTATGCTTGCTTTCTCTGCAAACTGCATGAGTCCTGTCCTCCCACTTTTTGGGGAAGAATTTTTCCTTTTCCCAGTGGGAGAAGGTGATGAATAGTGGACTTGTACACAAGCAGAATTTGAAGATTTTAGGAAAAAGACATGCAGTAATTAAGTTGCAGCCTCTAACCTGAAAAAATTAAAGTATAAGAAGAAACACAGGAAAGAAATTAAAAGTCTCTTGAAAGCACCTAGCATGTATCCCCAGCACCACTAAAAATAAAACCCTAAAAAAAGTTTGCTGACTTAAAAAGTAACAAAAGTTAAAAGATTTTCAGAGGTTAAATTCTTATTTGAATTAAAAAAAATAGAATCACTTTCATGGTGATGAGGTTTATATATTTTCTCTATGTAGACAAAGAGTTCTCTTCAGTATAACTTTTTCCACAGAATCAGATACGTTGTTTAGAGTTGACTGATCACAGTACTGTGATCTATTTTAAGTTAAAAATACCTCACAAGTGAATCATATATATGCAGAGCTTCTCTCTCCCCTCCCCTACATAAATACATTCACACCCTTCCACATGTCCATAAATAGTGCTTCTTTTCTTTGCCTTCTGAAGAATTTTGAATCATAGACTGTTAGAATGTTCTAGGACTTGACAGTCTGATATACTCAAATCTCTAATAAAAATGGCTTATTCATTTTGTCCATTTTCCAGCCCCCCATCCTCATTTTATTTTTGTTGTTGATTATGATCATTTCATGAATTTTTCTGGTGACAGAGGGACAGGAACAGAGAAAGCTCAAATAGGTGCATCGCTTACATGTTTTAGAGTATTCGTGGAGTGTAGAAGTGAGAAGAGGTATTAGAACTAATTACTAAAGGAAGACTAACTTGTTCATTCGATTTTCCCTGTTGTCTTCAGATTCAGGTGGTATGAGAAATGGGGCCACACTGATAGCTCAACTGTGAAGGGTGCCATCTGTTGCCTGTGTAGCAGTGACCTATATTCCTTGCTACTGGAACCCTGATTTCAGTTCAAGAACCAGGCAGCAATATGCTCAAGGAAAGTGACTCAGTTCCATAGGGTTCCAATCAATTTTGAAAACCCCATTTATTCTTTGCCAATGTCTAGTTAAGACAAGGAACTATACTACCATGTTCTGACCAGTGTGACAGAGGAAATAAGTCTGCTGGCATCTTTGCCTACTTTTGGACATTTCATTAAGTGAAATGATTAAGCCTTATCATTTAAAATACTTTTAGAGAAGTGTTGTGTTGCTTTCAGAAAAAAACATCTTCTCTGACAGTAATTACTTTGAAAAAATTACATCATCAGAGCCACAGGTTAGTAAAATGTTAACTCCTTCAAGAACTGTCCAGTCTGTTTACTTCATTTTACACATGAAATGGGTATTTAAAAAGCACCCTAACAGGGTTGGAATTATGTTGATTTCTCTATAACCTCTCTGTCATTAACTGATTTGTTAGAACAGTGATAAATCAGAATTTTGGGTTGAGATGAACAGTATACTAATTTTTTTCCTTTTTATTCTTATTGGCAAAAAAGTTTAATATACATAAAATAGGTTTCAGAGAAGATGTTGCTTTTACTTAAGAAAACTTAAAACATCCTAGAAATAGCTGTTTATATACACATGAATAACAATCTATGCTCACGTATACATTAAAAAGGCTTCTAAAGACTTTTGATCATCCCTATTTTTCTAAATTTCATTTATTGTTTCATCTAGCTGTATGGGCAAAGGTACTTGCCACCAAGGTTGGCGACCCTAGTTTGGCCCCCAGAGCCTACATGGTGGAAGGAGAGAACAAACTGCCTGTTTGTTATCCTCTGACTTTCACATGAACTGTGGACCATGTATACCCACAGCCCTGCCTACACCCCTACAAAATAAATAAATAAATACAATAATTTTTTAAATAATAAAATTATATCTTTTAGGAAATATTCAACAGAGACAATTTGCCTTCATGTTTAATTGATTAAAGTTTGGGGACTTTGTTGCATTAATATTCCACCTAACAATATTTTCATCATAGTTTGCCATTTTTCCCCATGTTTTCTGAGGAGGGAAAAAGTAGCTCACATACAGAGAGATTTCTGCTGTCTGACATGATAGCAGGTCCACCCAACTTCCATTCTCCTTAATTTCTGTATGAAAAAATTGTTATCCATTTCCACAATGCCAAATGGTGATAACGCTTGAAAACTAGCAGTGTCTACCTGAGTGATGTCCATTCCTGAGTCACAGCTCAATGGCTGTGTAGAAGTCAGACCGTTTGAGCCGATTACAGTTGTGATCACAGCATTCTCATCGATTCTCCGGATCATAGTCCCATCCACAAAGTAAATGAATCCATGCCTATCAACTGTGATGCCTGTTGGGAAAGCAAAAATTAGCATTAATTGTCTATTGGCCAAAGTTACACTAAGATCAGTATTTTGAAAGAAGTCATAGAAATGGAAAGACATGGTAAAGACATAAAAATTCAATTTTGCTCAGTGCACACAGGACAGCAATGGGAGAGGCTGGTTGGAAAACACATGCATTTTTTTGTGTGTGCTTGGAAAAGAAATGACAAAAAGTAAAATAAAGAGATAAATTCAGGTCTAATAATTTTGTTTTATTCCTGTTTACACCCATGTACTCTTGATATTTGCTTAGTTCCCATGCAGACAGAAATTTTCTTTAAGATAAAAAAAGGAACTGTTCATTACATTTCTTTAAGGATGTTGCTATTCAGGCCACTGCTTATTTTCATGGTTGTATTAGGAAATAATTGAGTAGGAAAGGATTAGAGCTATTTTCACAAACTTACGTTCAGTTCAAAGGGAATTTTTGATACTTCTGATGAATTAGACTAGAGATTTTCCTCTGAATTATCTATTTTTAAGGGATTGGAAAGCAAAGTTATGGCACTTTGCAGGGAAGGGCTAAGCTTCTAGGAAAAAATGTCAATGAAGTTATTCTGATTTTTCTTTCCTTAATACTTGAGAATTTCATACATATACATGACATGTATCCACCCCCACTCCCTCCCGTCCAACTCTTCTTATACCCCTACCACTGCCCTCCCCTGCAACTTCATACTTTTTATAATCCACTGAGTCCATTTAATGCTGCCAGTATGTGAGGGTCAATGAACTTTTCACTTGCCTTTTTAATATTGGGTTAATTCCAGCTTGGTTCCTTGAAAATATTAGAATAGCAGTTAGAAGGCTTAGCATCTAATACTGAATATATGAATTGTAACTGATAAGACTTTGATCGATGTATTTGTCCACAAATTTCAAACTTCAGCTTTCTCTTTGGTAAAATAAAGAAATGAACTAAGATCACCAACTCAGTCCAGGACTGAGTCAGGGCTTCTTTTATAACCTAGTCTTTGATAAACTAGGATAAATTGGTTATTATATGCCTACGTTTCTGTTGTATAATATGAAGTAATAGATGGGAAAGCATTAGGCCTGCTTAAGGAGCATGTGACTCATCCCTCATTTTTCTTGGCATATTTCAGAATGTTCTGGAGATACCCATGCTGGATTACAGTAGACACCTTTATGAGAGCAGGACATGTTCTAGGACCTGCAGTGGATACTTGAAACAAACACTTGCATATGTCCCTGTAATACATATTATAATATTCAATATATATATATTAAGCATGGTATGATATTAATTACCATAGTTTAATAATAAAATTCTTTAATGGTATATTGCAAAATATCTTATGCTATATTCAGACTTATTTTTCTTTTTTGTGCTTATGTGTATGCTTTTTGTGTATTCATTGTGTGTGTGTGTGTGTGTGTGTGTGTGTGTATGGTGTGCATGTCTGGAGGCCAGAGAACAACCTGGAGTATTATTCCTTAATTATCCTCTATCGTAATTTTTGAGACAGGGACTCTCAGTGGCTTGGAGCTCACCAAGTAGGCTAGCCAACTGGCCAGAGAGCCCCAAGGATACAGCTGTATCTTCCTTCCCAGTGAGGGAATTACAAATGTGTGTCATCATACCTGGCTTTTTTTATGTGTGTAGATGATAAAATACCTGTGTATTGAGATTAAGTGAGGTGAATGATAAATGTAGTAAACAGCTATATACAAGTTATTTGAATCCAAACACTGTGATACTACAGCAGTTGATCTGATAACTAAGATGGGTAATAAGCGATTGATGGGCAGGTAGTACATACAGTGCGGATACTCCAAATGCTTTATATCACAGAAGGGTGGCACAGGATGATGTGAGCTTTTAGCATGCCATTCAGAATGGCATGTAATTTAAAACTTCTGAATTGCTAATATTAAATTTTCACTTAATAATTTTGGATTATTGTTCATCATGGGTAACTCAAACTGAAAAATGAAATTGCATCTAAGAAGGAAACCACAGTGTTTTCAAAGTAGTCCACATATTAAACTTTTCCCATTTCCCCTTTATTCAGACCCAGTGAAATCTATGTGAAAGCTGGAAAATTCTGGGTTAACAAACATGATATTTTAATACAACAGAACACATGTGCATGTATGTACACACACAGACACACACATTTGCCTGACAAAATGTAAACTTGCTGTTGTAGTTTGAATGTGAAATATCCCCATAAGCTTATGTGTTTGGACATTTGGTCTCCAGTATGTGGTATTATTTGGAAAGATCATGGAATATTTAAAGGTTATGAAATGTTTAATGGTAGAATTAAGTCACTGGGGGCAGGCCTTGAGATTTACAGCCCAGCCTCATTTTCTGATCCTTTTCTGCTTCCTGAGTTTACATGTAATGTGACCAGCCATCCTCCTGCTCTCGCAACCATGCCTTCCCTTCCTGCTGTCATGTATTCCCTACCATGATGGAATATATACCTGTGGAACTGTAAACTAAAATGAATTTCCTTCTCCTTTAAGTTGCTTTTGTCAGGGTATTTTATCACAGCAACAGGAAAAGTAACTAAGGCATTTATCTAAAGAAAATTTATAAATCCAACCTAAGATAGGCCTGGTGTCACAAGCCTATGATCACAACTACTCCAGATGCTGGAGCAGGATGATTGTGAGTTCAAAGTCAGCATGGACAACTTAGTGAGACCCTGTTTTTTACAATTTAAAAAAAACAAAATGGAGGCTAACCCAGTGGGTAAAGTGCTTGATATGCAAGTATGAGGATCTGAGTTCATATCACCAACACCCATGTAAAATGCTGTGCATGACTGTAACCTCAGTGCTGTGGAGGCAGTCAGACCTGGGAATGATTTGGGATGGGATATGTCTGTGTGTGTGTGTGTGTGTGTGTGTGTGTGTGTGTGTCACTATCCAGCCAGTGTAGCTAGCCAAAACTGAGTGCACCATGTTCAAGGGATGAGACTGTATATAAAAATAAGAAGGAGAAATCATCAAAGAAGCTGTCTAGATGTTAATCTCTGGCCTTCACACACACCCATGTGAGTGTACCTACACACACACACACACACACACACACACACACGAAAAATGGCTGAGGATATATCTCAGTGGTACAGAGCTTTCCCAGAAAGTATGAAGCAGCCCTAGGTTCAATCATTAGAACTACAAAAAAATTCAACTTGATGAACTGCTTTTAGATGAGCTAATGCATTGGCTGGAGGTTAATATGCAGACTTGGCTCTGGTATATACATTAGTTCTGCTATTCCTTGTGATGTATTCATAACCTTTATAAAACTGAGATAATTTTAATTTCCACTAAAAACCTCTAAAATCTTCTATGTTTTTGCCAATTCTTCAAGGAAACCAGTATCTCCAAATAAGAGAATTCTCAGTCAATAAATCCTTGTATCAGTTGTAGAAGTATATGTACCTTTAATGAAGTCAATAAAAAGTCATTTAAGATTGGTGAAGATCAAGTGATGCAGGCATAGGAACATTTATTTCCTCTGAAAAGCCTCTGGTTGATGATGAACCAAGGGGAATCTTTGAATATTTTTGTATGTATTACTTTTGTATATGTTTTGGCAAAATCACTTTTTTCACTTTTTTTAAATTGAGCTTTTTAAATTTCATACACTTTCCACTCAAATCCAAATCCAGACCCCCCCTCATGCCTCCCCTTATTTCCCCACTGAACCCTATGCACTCTGCCATACATGCTGAGTCCTAGTCATTTGGGTGTTTGTACCTAAATTTCTTTTTAAAATTATGTTTACGTGTATGAGTGTTTGCCTATGTGTATGTAAGCACACTAGTGTGTGCAATGCACATGGAAGCCAGAAGAAGGCTTCAGATCCCTTGGAACTGGAGTTACAGATGGTTGTTAACCACCATGTGGGTATTGGGAACTGAATCCAGGTCATCTGCAATAGCAGCCAGTGCTCTTAACCACTGACATAGCTCTTCAGCCCCCAAATCAATTTCTTAAATACCAAACATTTAATTTGGTTTGTTGTTGGCCTATGATTTAGGACCTCCTTCTATGGCCTCTCTGCTAAATATCACTGAATATGAAATTTAAGATTTCACTGTTGTAAGAGGGCTGGCTAAATCATTAAGACTTAAGACTGGCACCAAAGGAGAGCAAGGTCCAAGCCTGGAGAGAGCACTTCTTAAAGTAAGTGTGCTCAAAGTTTATGAAATCATGTCGTTCACTAAATGGGTACTGCATGCCACTATGGTAGGCTCCTTGAGGGCCAAAGGACAAAGAGTCTGGGTGTACTGAAATAGAGATTAACAGAAATACTCTAAAACTCTAATAAGTTAAAAATGGTAAAAATAAAATAAAGTGTTGCTTTTATTAAGAGGTAATAAATGCAGAATCTCATCCTCTGAGGATTTGAATAGATTCTCAAAGATATAGAAAAATAAATTTAACTGATACAGTCTGGTATATGTGTTTGTCAGTTTTCCATTACCGTATACAGCATATATATGCATGTATACATATATATTCTCTCTCTCTATATATATAGCAAAATGCTATAAATGATCAAATTCAATAGAAGAAAAGTTTTATTTTGACTCAGTTTTGGAAGTTTCAGTTTATGGTTGGTGGGCCCCATTGATTTTGGGTTTCTCGTGATAGTTCATGGTCATGGGAGTGCATGGTGTAGAACACCTTATCTAATGGTTATAAGCAAAAAAGAAGAAGAAATGAGCAAGTGGAAGTGAGCAGGTTCCTCCTATTCCCTTCATGATCACACCCTCCAGTGAGTTCCTACCACTTAAAGGTTCCACCACATCCCAATATTGTCATCTTGTACTCTCAGCCTTTATACATGGTCTTTTGGAGGTTACATTTCAAATGTAACCTAGTGGTAGCAGGTCTTTGCAACTTTATGCTGATAATTGAGAAGGACAATTCTGTTTCTTGACTATCATACTTTTTAAACCTACTGGAGTAGAAAGTT